GGAGTGTTACCTGCTACCCCCAGCTACATGGAGTTCATGTTGACACAGTGCAGGCAACACATAGTGGCTGCCACCATCTGTCCAGGTTGTGGGGTGCATTTCTGCCTTCTTGTTAGACCTTGTAGAAATCTGATCTGTAGAGGATTCTGCCAAACAGGCATTCTCTGCTTGGATGTGCCAGCACAGACACACCCATAGACACACCCTCTTCCTAGGGTTCACCCTCATCCCTCACCCTCCCTTCCCGGGCCTCCGTACCCACCATGCCCCCTCCCCAGCCTTCCTATTCCTAGTAGCAGCAGTCCCTGGGATCCATGTCCTCACAAGACAAGGCGAACTCCTGGTCCCTGTGTCCAGCATCGTGTCTGGACTCGGCAGCAGGTAGGCAGCCGTGACTGCTGGGTAGAATCAAGTGAGACTGGTGGTCTGGTCTGGTCCCGGCCTCGTGGAACTGCCCTGCTGAGCTCCTGGCTTCTTGGAGAGGCTCAGGATAGCCCAGGTGTGGCTGAGCCTCAGAGACTTGCAGACCCGGCAGGCTCGCTCCACCGCACCGCCTTCCTCACTGACACCCCCGCTCTTCTTTGTTTTTCCCTCCAGGAAAAGTGGAACCTGAGCACGTGCTGGCCAGCGCACCCTCCGACAGGAACCTCTGCCGTTTCCAGGTGAGCCGGGCAGCTCCCAGGTGGCTCTTGGCTCCTGTCCCTCAGACACTCCTTGGGGCCAGGGAAGTGCTGCTTACTTGGCTAAAGTTTTGAAATGGCCTGGGCTGGGGAAGGGGAGGTCAAAGGCCAGAAGGAACATCAGGGTCGTGGAGGGCCAGGGCGGGGTAAAGGGGCGTGCATGCTGGGTGGGCAGGAACGTCATGGGCACTCACCGGCTCAGACGGCTTGAGGCTGTGCTGCCGTCAGGGCCCACCTGAGGTCAGGTCCTGAGCAGGGACGGGTGGTCTGGCCACTGGGAGTAGAGCCATCCGCAGTGGGGGCTGGCAAGGGGGCTGCGATCTGGAGGACGCCTGCTGACAGACCTGGCCCTGGCGTCCCTGCTGCAGGCCATGGGCTGCCAGACCACCCACTCCAACCTGGAGGTGCTGCACAGCTGCCCCCTCGTCTTCTTCGCCACCAAGCCCCACATTCTGCCCGCCGTGCTGGTGGAGGTGGCTCCTGCTGTCACTGCAGAGCACATCTTGGTGTCCGTGGCCGCTGGGGTGTCCCTGAGCACCCTGGAGGAGGTGAGTGGCCCTTGAGGGTGCGGTGGGGCTGAGACGCTGACCCCAGGCTGGGCTCTGCTGACCAGACTCGACTTCCCATCCCGGCCATCCCAGACCGGCTGCAGCTGGGGCCTGGCCCTTCCAGAAGCCAGCATGGGTGGGTTGAGGAGCAGAGTTTTCCGCCGGCTGGCACAGGCCTCACTGACCACAGCCTCTCTCTGGCAGCTGCTGCCCCCGAAGGCTCGGGTGCTCAGGGTCTCACCCAACCTGCCCTGCATCGTCCAGGAGGGTGCCATGGTGATGGCACGGGGCCGCCATGCTGGGAGCTATGAGGCCCAGCTCCTGCAGTCCCTGCTGGAGGCCTGCGGGCAGTGCGAGGAGGTGCCCGAGGCCCAGGTGGACATCCACACCGGCCTCAGCGGCAGCGGCGTAGCCTTTGTGAGTGTGGTGGGCAGCCCTCCCTCTGCAAAGTGGGACCTTCCCAAGCCCCTGCAACAGCCCCTGCCCCCAGGGATCCGCGCTTGGTCCTCAGCTGCCCGTGTGTGCCCACCCGTCAGTGCCTTCCTGGGCCTTTGAGACCGGCCCCTTGGCAGACCTCTGGGCTCCAGCCTTGGCTCTGGTGGCTGGTGCCCTGGGCCTTGTTCTGAAGGTTCCCAGCCTTCTCCAGGCTGGGTGCTGAGTCCCAGGGAGGGCTAGCTTTGACTCCCACCCCCTCCCCACTGCTACAGGTGTGTGCCTTCTCTGAGGCCTTGGCTGAAGGTGCTGTCAAAATGGGCATGCCCAGTGGCCTGGCCCACCGCATCGCTGCCCAGACCCTGCTGGTGAGACCCTGCTGCACGGCCCGGGGAGTGTGTAGAAGGGGAAGGTCAGCATGGGGAGGCGGCCAGCTGGCCTGAGTTGAGACAGGGTGCTGGGGGGATGAGCTGCAGACAGGCTGCCAGCACCATCCCCCCGCCAAGTCACCCCAACACCTCTCTCCAGGGAACAGCCAAGGTGCTTCTGCAGAAGGGGCAGCACCCGGCTCAGCTGCGGACTGACGTGTGCACGCCAGGCGGCACCACCATCTACGGGCTCCATGCGCTGGAGCAGGGTGGGCTGCGGGCCGCAGCCATGAGCGCCGTGGAGGCCGCCACCTGTCGGGCCAGGGAGCTCAGCAGGAAGTAGGTGTGGGCCACGCCTCTACCCTGTGGTGGCTTGGGTCCCCTCTGTCCTGCAGGGAGGAGGGGCCCTGGCCCGCAGGGAACACAGCAGGGTGTGGCCCCTCCCCGGACCCTAAGCTCCTGGCAAGGGCAGGGAGAGCTGGCCCTGATGACCCTTCCCTGGGTCAGGAGCCCCGGAGGGTCCTGTGGCCTGGCCTCTGACTACCAGATTTGGTTCTCAACATGTCCGTGAAGGGACCAACAGGCCTGGAAAGCCAGAAACGTGGGACCTTTGTTGGGGGACTGCCCCATCCCTTGCAGGCCCAAGTGCTGGAGCCCCTTCCCGCCACCTGCCAGGCGTCTGTGAACAGGGCTGATGCACCCGCCGGCCAACCCCACTCTGCTGCTCGGCCTCGAGCCCTCCCCGAGTTCCAGCCACCAGTGTCCCGCTGGCCCTCAGCCAGGGACTGCTTGTCTGACCCCGGCCCTTCTACTAGTTAGAATGGTCAGCCTGAGTCCATTTCTTCACCTATTTTTTTTTTTTTAACCTTTAAAATGGAAATAAAGATGCTGTACTATAGCATGGAGCGATCCATGTTTCACTGGAGGTGGATAAAACCAAATCCCAGGGCCTGGAGTCCCATCAGCAAGGCCCTGGGCTCAGACTCGGGTGGGTGGTGCAGACGGGGCTCCCCTCTATCTCCCATCACCCCCCCTCAGCAACGCGTTGGCCACCAAAGTCCCTGGGCCCAAGCTGGGCCCTGCCCTGAGGTGGCCAGTCTGCGTGAGGCACCTGTGGGCCCACTGCTGTCCCTCCCTGCTTCTCAGATGGCGTTCTGGAACTGCGCACTGGATGCAGTTACAAAAGTAAGACTGGGACAGAGCTTGTGTGAAGTGGGCATGTTCAGCCTTTATTATAAAGTGAGGCTGCCTGTGAAAGGGCCCCTTGACAGAGTAAGCACCTCAGAGCCCCCTCCAGCCCCCCCTGCCCCCGAGATCCTGACATGCTCTCGGGCCCACAGGCTCAGGGCCAACCCCCGCACTGGCAAGGCCCCTTCCTCACCGCAGGCTCCAGGGCTCCATCCGTGGTCCGCTGTCACCTGGGGGCTTGTTCCCCAGTGTGTGGTCCCTCGGGCAAGGCTGGCCTGACACGGTGGGTTCACTCTCCCGACCCCCCTGGTGGGCTGGTATCAGCAGAAGTCATGGGTGGCACTTTCTGCCCGCTGCTGATTCTGCCAGGTCAGCCCTGAGGTCCTGCCTGGGGGCTGCTGGCTTGAAATTCGTGACCCTCGCTGCCTTAAGGGTTCAGCAGATGATGGTGAACAGGAGCGGAGAGCCTGGCGGCTGAGATGCCTCGGGCCCAGCGGTAACCACAGCAAGGCACTTCAGCTGTTCTCCCCACGGTTCACAGAGCTGAGCTTGCACTCTAGGGAGGAGGACTTCAGAGGCCCTCGCGTGAGGTGTCCTCAGCCCCACCCTTGACCAGGCCCTGGCTCTTCAAGGCCCAGACCAGCCTGCGCTGTGCCTCATTCCTGCACTGCCATCTGGGGCCGGGCACTGGCCAGAGCTGCCTTCTGGGGTGCAGCCTCAGTGCCCCAGAGGGGGTGAAGCAGGAGGCTCTGTCCCAACACCCAGTTCTCAACATCAATCGCAGCCCCCCTGCCCAGACCCCGGGGACAGAGGACCAAAGGTGAGGCCGGGAACCTGGCGAGAGGAGTGGCACCGAGGATACCACCAGAGACTACTCTGGCCCGGCGCCCACCCGGGCTCCGAGTCCGCTCCCTCGCAGGGCCCTGCAGGACAGAGGCCCCGCAGGCAGGCTATGGTGAACAGGCGCTCTCGCCCGGGCCCCTGACGGTGTGACATGCAAGACATCCTGAGGCCAGAGGCGCGGGCCGGGTGCAGGCCTGCCGCAGCTGCTAGTGGAGTAAGGGCAGCAGGTGAGGTGGAGGCTTTAGCTTGGGCTGGTGGCCATGCCTCCCTTCTCGCCTGGAATCCTCTGTACCATCCATCAGCTTTCAGATCGGACATATACACGTACATGTCTGGGTGTTTTGACTAGAGGTGGTTCCAAGGAAGAGCTGACATCTTTGCTCCGGGGGCACCCCCGTGGCCCTGCCACCATGCATGGCCCTTCCCTCCCAGAAACACATCACCTGGGTGTGGCCTCCACAGCCCAGGAGCATCAGGAGGCGGGGGCAGGTGAAGAGGAGGGCAGAGCACTGAGGCAGGCAGCAGCACCTCAAATCCAGCCCTCCTCAGGGCTCTGGGCGTCTCTGCCGGGCAGCCCCTGGGAGACCTGGGTGTCTCAGCCTCAGGCCCCCAACAGGGTCCTGAATCTAGAGCTGAGTGGAGCAGCAAAACAGTGTGGGAGCCGGAGGGTCACACGGAGCCCTCGCCACCTCCTTTCAAGCCGTGCCACCCAGAAGCCTAATTCACGGCCTGTGGGAAACGGCTCCTCGGCTACGCCCCTGGCAGTGCCGGGAGCCGGGCAGCCTTGGAGGGGAGCTAAGGCACTGAGGGTTGTCCTGGCATGGCTGGCGGTGCCACAGGGGTGCTCCGAGAAGACAGCATGGCTCCGGGCCCTGAGGCTGCTGGGGTGTGGGGCAGGGGCCCAGGTCTAGTGCTCCTCAACCCTACAGGATGAAAGCTGTTTAGCATGGCATTTCCTTAAAGACAAAAAACACAGGAACCTTGGCTGCACCCAGAAACTCAAAGCCCCATCCTTCTTTCCCAGCCCCCCGAGCATCTGCCCTGTCCTGGTTGTGGTGGCGCAGGCTTGGTGGGTCTGGCAGCTGCCCGATGACCAGCGGCTTCAGTTTGTGGCTGCCGGTCAGGTAAGCGGCCAGCAGGACCGTCACCCGGTCGCCCCGCCAGCGGTGGCCACAGCCCCCCGCGCCCACAGGCGCAGCCTGCTCCGGGAGCAGCTTCCAGTAGAGGCCCGTGACGTTGGCGTTGTAGATCTGCTCGTCGCCGTAGCCGCCCTCGGCGGGGGCCAGGGTACTAGCGGCGAGGTCGGGCAGGGGCCCGGCGCGGGTGGGCTGCGCGGGCTCCTGCTTGACGGGCGGGCCAGGCTCGGGGCCGGCGGCCGCAGGATCGGCCTCGCCGTAGATACGCTGGCTGGAGATGCCGTGGCGCTTCTGCCAGCGCCAGAACCAGCCGTGGCTGGCCTTGAAGGTGCATTCGGGCCCGTAGATCTGGCGCGCGAAGGCTTTGGCCTGCGCCTGGATGAGCGGCCCCGACAGCGGCATGCCGTGCTGGCGCGGCTCCAGGAACCACGAGTAGACGGCGCGGTCGATCTCCTCCTCGTTGGCCAGCCGCATCTTCTTGCACTGCGTGCCCACCTCGCCACCCAGCTGCTCCAGGAACCAGCGCACCTTGGGTTCTCCTTAAGCCAACCGCGCAGCGTGCCGCCAGGCACGCCGAAGTCGCGGCACACGCTGGCCTGCCGCTGGCCGCCCTTGACGCGCTCGATGGCTTGCAGCTTATCCTTGATAGAGTAGGCCTTGCGGAAGGCCATCTTCACGGCGACGCGGCGCCGCGGCCCGGGCGCGGGGGGCGGCGGCCGCGCGGCGGGGACCGGGGCNTTTTGTCATCAGGTTTGTGTCTGTTGAGGGGACATCATACACTGTTTACTTTGTTGTAGACGTAACCTATGAACACTGATGGTTCTGAGTGATCTGTTCAAAATACTGTCTCTCCCCATTCTGTGGGAACCAGCAGGAGCAAGAGGGCATTTTCAGTTAAATATAATCTGTATTCATGAGCTCCCTGAGTCTTTCTTACTCTCTCACTTCAGATCTTTCTCTGTGTGACAGGTTCAGAGGTTCAGTCTTGATAAGTCTATGAAAGTTGGGATGTTTATTTAAACTTCTTGCCTCTGCAAAAACCCAGCCAGGATCTTTTGAGAGCAGCCTTTTTAAGGATGCTTGCTGGCACCACTGGCTTTCTTTCACACTAGCAATCCTAGGTACCTTGTCTACCTTCTGGCATTTCATTACTTCTCCTTTGAGCCCTGTCAGCAAAGGAGAGAGGCAGGTACCCGAGTCAACATGCCTATTTTGAGAAAGAAAGGAAGGCCTGCACTTTCAGCATCAGCTTTGTGTGACGTCAACATAAATACAGGGATGAAGGGACAGCTGTGACCATCTCAGATCTGAGATCCTGGACTGCGGTAAGATTTAAGGACACCAGGCTTTTAAGTGTAGATTTTAGTAGATGGGGTGGGGAGGGTGGTGGGAGCGGGGGAGAGGGCAATTGTTAGTTCTGCCTTTATTCACCCTACTTCATTAAAAATGTACTTTAAAAAATATTTTACTTTTTTTATCTGGTTACTCCAGGTCTTAGTTGTGACATGTGGGCTTTTCGATTTTTGTTGTGGCATGCAGAATGTTTAGCTGTGGCTTTCAAACTCTCAGTTGCAGCATGTGGGATCTAGTTCCCTGCCTGACGAGGGATCAAACCTAGGCCCTCTGCATTGGGCGCTCAGAGTCTTAGCCACCAGACCACTAGGGAAGTCCAAAAATTTTATTTATTTTAAAGGTCCTGTAATTAGAGTGAGTACCCACTAATGTGCTTCCCAGGTGACTCAGTGGTAAAGAATCTGTCTGCCAATGCAAGAGACACAGGTTTGATCCCTGGGTTGGGAAGATCCTCTGGAGTAGGACATGGCAAATTACTCCAGTATTCTTGCCTGGAAAATTCCATGGGCAGAGGAGACTGGCTGACTACAGCCCATGGGGTCACAAAAGAGTCAGACACAACTGTTTGACTGAGTACACATGTACACTTTGACTAATGTGGGATATAAGTCACCCCTCTTAGCTCAGTATTTGTCTTTAAAAAGCAGAATTCGTATAGGATTCTTATTGATCACATGGTAGTCGCAAGAATTTCAGATATAATGATGTATACAATCTAAGCAAGATAGACTGATTAAAATTTATATAATGTAAAAATATATTTATTTAAAGTTACCCATGAGGACAGATGTATGCAGTGGGAAGAACAGTTGATTGGGATTGAGGGCTCATATGCAATAATATTGCTTTTTCTTCCTCCATTACAGTCACTGCTACTAATAGATACAGGTATTCCACAGGTATTCCATCTAGCTCCACAAGGGTAAATGGCAACCTGCTACATATATGATCTAAAGTGTGTCTGTGAATCTTCTGTGGTAACTCTCACAAAAATAGTACATAATGAACCCTATGCAGGTAGTAGAGAGCACTGGTTATTTATTCTAGTTAGACTTTGAAAATGTTTAAATTTTGACTTTAATAAAGAATATCTTTCCTCCTGCATTTTCAACACTGACATGCACATAGAGTGGAGGAATTTCGATGTTTGTTTGGCCACAGTGATAACTGAAATATACTTTAAATACTTTTTAATAATATATTTTAGTCACACACAACATAAAACATAGATCGTCTATAGCTTTAAGCTGAAAAGTAGAAGTGCATCTGAATTTTAATGCTTTTGGTTTCAGTAGTCTGTAGTTTTCTACCTTTCTCCTAAAAAATGAAACTGATGTAACTACTTGCTTAGCTTCCATTTCCTTTTGAATAATATTCAGATTCAGTTCTTTGGTCATCATGATTTTGCCTCACCTGGCTTCTGGCTTTTCCAATCTTATCTCCTACCACTCTCTCCTCCATACTGACCTCCTTTGGTCCTTCAAACTTTACTAAGCACATATTTTTGCTTCAGATTGTCAACTGAAAAAATAATGCAGGAGGCTGCAAATAAGAAAAGAGTTTATTTGGAGTTTTAAGAATTGCAATTCATGAGACACAGATTTAGGTAAACCCAAAGGAGAGTTCTAAGGAAGAGAGTTAGAAGCTTATAAAGACAAAACTCAAGGCTATTAAAAATTGCCTAAGAAGAACTGTGATTGACTTGGATGTGAGTCAGAAAATATTTGTCCTTAGGAATCATAAGTTGCTTTAGGGTAGTGGTCTAATAAGTAAATAGACTATCATGAATTGTTTTATGGTAAGGATCCAACAAACATCTTCAGTTTCTGGCAGGTGTTCTGGATTACTTCATCAGGTCAAAATGTCAGATTTCATCCAGGCTGAAATGTGCAAAAGCCATACTTTCTTAATGATTTCCTGGCTCCATTTTAGAGAGCTCTCTTAGACATACTGACTCTGTTTTTATTTTCCTTTCACTAGAGTCTCCTCCCTCAGTCCCCAGATCTCTGCATTGTTAGCTCCTTTTTATAGTTCAAGTATGAAGTGTAAAACAAATAAATAGGGAAACAACTAGATTGTGATTGACTCTAATGCCATGGGGCTTCCCAAGTGGCTCACTACCAGTGCAGGAGACACAAAAGACACAAGTTCGATCCCTGGGTCAGGAAGATCCCTTGGAGTAGGAAATGGCAGACCACTCCAATATATCTGCATGGAAAATTCCATGGACAAAGGACCCCGGTGGGTTACAGTTCATGGGATCACAAAAAGTCAGACATGACTTAGTAACTGAGCACTCACACACGCTAGTGCCATGGCAACCTATTTAAGCAAACCAAAATCTAAGCCTGTGAATGTCAAGATTATATCATAATGCTAAAGATAACCAATCACAAATAGCCAACTAGGCTTTCAGCTAGAGCCAATCAAATAATTTCCTTCTTTGGTTCTGCACTTTCTCTGTGTAAGTCTCTCATCCCAAATCCTATCAGCAGAACACTCCTAACAACTTCTGGTTTAGCACTGCCTAAAGCTAATCAATTTTTTTTCAAATAAACTCTAAAGATTTTTAAAAATGTTTCATTTTATCTTTCAATAGGTTTTGGCAAAAATGTCACAGTCTCAGAGATGCCTCCCATGACTACCCACAGCAAAAGTAATCCCTCTATCATCTCTCCCCTTCCCCCGACACCCTCTCTCTCCTTGATCCTACCCTGCTGTTTATCGTCCTCATCTCCACACATTGTTTGTTTGTGTGCTTGTTTTCTATCTCTCACACTAAAATCTAAACTCCAAGAGGATATGTTTGCTTACTAATATATGCTACCTGGCACCTAGAAAGCATTAAATATTTGTTTGAATGAATGTAATGAATGTATTTTAAAAAGTCTGACTGTATAACAGAAATATCAAGCATTTGCTTCCATTGTAAGTGACTGATAAATATGAGTTAGGAGTCATGTAATATTGTAAAAATAAAAATAACAGATGAAGCTAACGAGAAAAAGACAAGGTTATCTTTGCAGTGGCTCTCAGCATACTGATGAAGGAAACCAATTGCCATCTTCTCTCTGTTACAAAACTGATATTGTCATTTAGGCTTTATTTAACTATTATTCTTATTAGTGTTCAAAATGTTAGTGATATTTAATTACTTTATCCAAAAATCAGTGGTTTATTTATGAATTGGATATTGTCCACTCTGTCTTGTAGGAACTTCCCTGGTGGTCTAGTGAGGTGATGATCAAAATCATCCTCAAGAAAAAGAAATGCAAAAAGCAAAATGGTTGTCTGAGGAGGCCTTACAAATAGCTGAGAGAAAAAGAGAAGTGAAAGGCAAAAGGGAAAAGGAAAGATATACCCATTTGAATGCAGAGTTCCAAAGAATAGCAAGGAGAGATAAGAAAGCCTTCCTCACTGATCAATGTAAAGAAACAGAGGAAAACAATATAATGGGAAAGACTAGGGATCTCTTCAAGAAAATTAGATACCAAGGGAACATTTCATGCAAAGATGGGCTCAATAAAGGACAGAAATGGTATGTACCTAACAGNGGAAAACTGCATCTGTTGGGAGCCCATGTTGGACCCTGAACCTCAGAGCAGGGAAAAGCGAGATGGTTGTGATTGTGCCAGGCAGGGCTCGGCCTCTCGCCTCCCCACTCCTAGGTTTGCCCCCTACTTCTCCCCCGCCCCTCTGCACACTTCCCCCTGCCCCAGGCCCGCCACACCTGGGAAGAACTGCCATCCCGTGAGTCCCTGGCACGTCTTGTGGGAGGGCCCTGAAGGTCAGCCTGGGAGCCTTGGGCCTGTTCTGGGAGGAGCTCAGGTTGTGGGTCTGCCCCCTCTTCCTGGCCCAGACACTTCCTGCCACTTTCTGTATCTTTCTTTGGGAGGTAGGGTCAGGTCAGGAGATGCTGTGCTGGGGCTAGTCGGCCCCTTCTCCCTGCAGCTGGGCTTGAGCAAACTGAATCCGGGGTGTGGGTCTGGGCAGAAGCTGGTCTCAGTCCCGCCTCCAGACCTCGGTTGTGGCCTCTGGACCAGCTTCCTCCAGACACCTGAATCTGGGGACTGGAGCCAGCAGCACCTTTCCTGGATGTGAAAGTGGTGACATGGCAGCATCTGGCTTTTGTTCTCATATAGCTCCCACTTACATGGGCGTTTCCAGGTTCCTGTCCACACAGCACCTCCCCAGACCACAGCTTCGTCCCATGGGCCTTGTGCTAGAGGAGGCCTGAAGTGGAGGGCTTGTAGGGGATTCCTGGGTTGGGAAAAATTGAGGGCGGGAGGAGAAGGGGATGACAGAGTATGAGATGATTGGGTGGCATCACCGATTCAATGGACATGAGTTTGAGCAAGCTCAGGAGATGGTGAAGGACAGGGAAGCCTGGCTTGCTGCAGTCTATGGGATCTCAGAGTCAGACACGACTGAGTGACTGAAGAACAACAATCCTTCTGTACTCTGGGCTCTAATAAGCTGACCTTTATAGATTGTGTAAACTTGGATCCCTTGACCTCTAACCTCTGGTTGGGTTGAAGGCATGATGGCACCAGCAGATCAAAAGAGAAGATAGAGAATGAGTTAGACTGTTTATTCTTCCAGTTCCCTCCTGTCTGGGTTGCACATGCCAACTGTGTTCCCTTATTGACCCAAAGGCCATAGCTCCTTTCTGGTGGCCCCACCTATGTTAATTCTCTCTAGATTTTGGTAATTGCGCCCTTCCTATCCTTTCAGGGCTAGGAGAGGTAAGGGCTTCCTGCTATAGTAGTTCTAAGGTATTGAAACATTATTACTCCTGTACCCAAACCTTGTAAACAATCTCTTCATTAAGGTCATGCTTTTCTTGTTTGAGTTTGCCCAGCTGTTTCCTGCCTTAGATACAGAATCAAACACTGTATGCCTCAAATCCATGAGAATTAGAAAGACATGAATTTATAGCCTAGAAACAAATTAAATCAAGGATCAAGATAATGGAAAATTTTAACAATGCAGAAGAACCTATGATCATGAGCTCTACTGTTTACAACTTGGAGTAAGACATGAGTGAAGTGAAGTGAAAGTCACTCAGTTGTGTCTGACTCTTTCAGACCCCATGGACTATACAGTCCATGGAATTCTCCAGGCCAGAATCCTGGAGTGGTTAGACTTTCCCTTCTCCAGGGGATCTTCCCAATCCAGGGAGAGAACCCAGGTCTCCCACATTGAAGGCAGATTCTTTACCAGCCGAGTCACCAGGGAAACCCTCAGAAAAATTTTCCTGCTTCTTATTGGCCATGAATGAATCTTATGCCCATGTGACCATTCTTGAATCAATTTAGATGGCTAGAGAATATTGTAATTTCTTGATTAGTCTAAGCCTGCTAACCCTTGAATCAATTACTACAATAATCACTGATTAGCATTAATCTAGACCCATCTCTGAAGATGGGGTCAGTCCCCAAACCATATAGCTGGTAGAAAATAAGAGAGGAATGAGATGAGTATGTTAAGGCAATTATAATAGACATCAGACCTATCTTATTCAGGAGCAAGATATTCATTTTCTTGATATAGTTGTGGCAAGTATCTGAGAGGCTAGTTTGCAAATTGTAGGCCCTAAAATCTGTAGGAAATTATTGTAAAATCCATTCTAGTTCTAAGAATTGTGATATCATGAGGATTTATACATCTTTGACGTTTAAAATAATTGGCTAGAAATAATTAGGACTTTTTTATCCCACTTTTTTATATAACTGACATTTCCTTAAAAAAAAATTGTGACATCTTCTTTGACTATTCAGAAGAATATAGTTAATCTTGAAGAATGCAGGCACCCAAAGTTGAACACCTCATAAGACTGGAGCAGTGACCTGCATTATTCTGGTATTGAAGAATGAAGTAATCAATGGGAAGACCTAGATGGACAGCTGTGTAGCACTCAAGCTGGGGAGCCCTCAACAAACAGACAGGAAGAACCATGAAGTCTGCTGTTATCTGATCTGTCAAGGTCTTCTGAGGTCTAAATGATCAGAGAAGCAGAGGATTCTTCCCCCAGATTACTGAATTCATATGTAAATACATATACTATTGCTGGTATTCAATATTTCTGCTAAAAGCAAACCAGCATAATTTCCAGATCTACAGTGCCAAGCCTATATTTTCCATACCCTACAAAATTCAGAAATGGAATGGACCTAACAGAAGCACAACATATTAAGAAGAGATGGCAAGAATAAACAGAACTGTACAAAAAAGATCTTAATGACCCAGATAACCATGATAATGTGATGACTACCCAGAGTTAGACATCATGGAGTGCAAAGTCAAGTGGGCCTTAGGAAGCACCACTACAAACAAAGCTAGTGGAGGTGATGGAANTATATGCAGAGTACATCATGAGAAATACTGGGCTAGAAGAAGCACAAGCTGGAATCAAAATTGCTGGGAGAAATATCAATAACCTCAGATGTGCAGATGACACCACCCTTATGACATAAAGTGAAGAGGAACTAAAGAGTCTCTTGATAAAAGTGAAAGCGAAAAGTGAAAAAGCTGGCTTAAAACTCGACATTCAAAAAATGAGGATCATGGCATCTGGTATGATCACTTCATGGCAAATAGATGGGGAAACAATAGAAGCAGCAGTGACAGACTTTATTTTCTTGGGCTCCAAAATCACTGTGGATGGTAATGGCAGCCATGAAATTAAAAGATGCTTGCTCCTTCGAAGAAAAGCTATGACAAACCTAGACAACATATTAAAAAGCAGAGACATTACTTTTCTGACAAAGGTCCATCTAGTCAAAGCCATGGTTTTCCAGCACTCATGTACAGATGTGAGAGTTGGACCATACAGAAAGCTGAGTGCCAAAGAATTGATGATTTCAAACTGTGGTGTTGGAGAAGACTCTTTAGAGCTCGTTAGACTGCATGGAGATCAAACCAGTCCATCCTAAAGGAAATAAACACTGAAGATTCATTGGAAGGACTAATGCTGAAGCTGAAGCTCCAAAACTTTGGCCACCAGATGAGAAGAGCTGACTCACTAGGAAAGACCCTGAGCTGGGAAATATTGAAGGCAGGAAGAGAAGGGGACAAAAGAGCACGAGATGTTTGGATGTAATTACCAACTCGATGGACATGAGTTTGAGCCAATTCCAAGAGATGGCAAAGGACACGGAAACCTGGTGTGCTGCAGTCCATGAGGTCACAAAGAGTTGGACATGACTGAGTGGCTGAACAACAGCAAAATTCACATGTCCAAAATTTAACATCACTGTCTCTTCAAAAAAGCTCTCTAATCCTCTCAACTCATTAAATGCACCACCATATGTCCCTCAGTTCTCCAAACCTAAATTCTAGATATTAGCCTTAACTCATCTCTTTCCCCTTCACTCCAACCAATTGCTAGTGAAATTCAAAAAGAAGAAGTATTGTTCAGCTTTCAGAGGCGGAAGAGCAGGCCTGTAACCTGCCTGGACACTGCCCACAGTCTATGCCTGTCTGCAAGTGCATCAAGTCAGGCAGTTCTTCAGATAAGAAAGGGAGTGCGTCTTGGAATTCTTCAGACCCTGGAGGCCTAGCCAATCTCCTGGGATCTAAGAAGTCTTATGACTCACAAGTGAAACAAACAGCATTGTAAAAGTTTGAGTAAAACCATAGCTGCATTTTTGTAACCAAACTGATGATGATAACAATTTGTAGCCTGGGATTATAAATTGGAGCCTCCCCCAAACTGAAATTTGACATCTCATCCATGGAGTAGACACACTACTTGGACCCCTTTCTCAGTTAAGACTCCAGATTGCTGTTAATGTGGAACTTCCCAGTGCTGTACAAGTCTGGATGTAGGTGTTGACTCAATTTGGTGATGAATACACTGTTCAGTTCAGTTCAGTTGCTCAGTCATGTCCAAGTCTTTGCGACCCCGAGAACCGCAGCATGTCAGGCCTCCCTGTCCATCACCAATTCCCAGAGTTTACCCAAAGTCATGTCCATTGAGATGGTGACGCCAGCTAACCATCTCATCCTCTGTTGTCCCCTTCTTCTTCTGCCTTCAATCTTTCCCAGCATTAGAGTCTTTTCAAATGAGTCGTCTCTTCACATCAGGTGGCCAAAGTATTGGAGTTTCAGCTTCAGCATCAGTCCTTCCAATGAACATCCAGGACTGATCTCCTTTAGGATGGACTGGTTGGATCTCCTTGTAGTCCAAGGGACTCTCAAGAGTCTTCTCCAACACCACAGTTCAAAAGCATCAATTCTTCTGTGCTCAGCTTTCTTTATAGTCCAACTCTCACATCCATACATGACTACTGGAAAAACCATAGCCTTGACTAGACGGACCTTTGTTGACAAAGTAATGTCTCTGCTTTTTAATATGCTGTCTAGGTTGGTCATAACTTTCCTTCCAAGGAGTAAGCGTCTTTTAATTTCATGGCTGCAGTCACCATCTGCAGTGATTTTGGAGCCCATAAAAATAAAGTCAGCGGCGGCGTCAGCGGCGGCCGGGGCGGTGGGAGAGGAGCGCCGGAAAAAGATCGCGCCGGCGGAGCGGCCTCAGCCAGCGGCTTCCTGCGGCGGGCCAGCCCCGGCAGCCTCCTGCCCGGGCTCCAGAAATTGACATCTTCCAATAACAGACCTCGAGAGGACAGCTGGTTAAAATCCTTGTTTGTCCGAAAAGTTGACCCAAGGAAAGATGCTCACTCTAATCTCCTAGCCAAAAAGGAAACCAGCAGTCTGTACAAATTACAGTTTCACAATGTTAAACCGTAATGCCTAGAAGCATACAACAAAATTTGTCAAGAGGTGTTGCCAAAGATTCATGAAGATAAACATTACCCTTGTACTTTGGTGGGGACTTGGAACACGTGGTATGGCGAGCAGGATCAAGCTGTTCACCTTTGGAGATATGAAGGAGGCTCTCCAGCCCTCACAGAGGTGATGAGTAAACTCAAAGAAAATCAGGAATTTTCAGAATTCCGTAAGGCAAGAAGCAACATGCTTCTCTCGAGAAAGAATCAGCTGCTGTTGGAGTTCAGTTTCTGGAATGAACCCATCCCACGGTCAGGACCGAACATATACGAACTCAGATCCTACCGGCTCCGACCAGGAACTATGATTGAATGGGGCAATTACTGGGCTCGTGTCATTCGCTTCAGACAGGTTGGTAATGAAGCAGTTGGAGGGTTCTTCTCCCAGATTGGGCAGCTCTATATGGTGCACCATCTTTGGGCTTACAAGGATCTTCAGACCAGGGAAGATATACGGAATGCAGCATGGCATAAACATGGCTGGGAAGAACTAGTATATTATACAGTCCCACTTATTCAGGAAATGGAATCCAGAATCATGATCCCACAGAAGACCTCGCCCCTCCAGTGAAGCAACGGACTGGAGATGTGCCTACAGAAGTTTAGGTGACATGTGCTTGTCATCAATCAACTTGAACTGTGTTACAGTGAGAGAGAAACACTGAAGTGTCAACTGCTGTATACAGCTTGTAAAAGACCTCTTTTCTTTAAAATTTACATAATCACAGGACAGGAAACTGTTACAGTTCGGCTGATTGTAAAAGTGCGCTGTAGTCCTCTGAAATATCCCTAGGTTTGTCGAATGTACCGTATAATATTAACACCAAGACACCTCTCCCCACCCCCCCAGAAAAAGACAGCCCAGTTGAAAATTGGAGTCATCTCCAAGTAAGAATCTAACCATGGGAAAAAAAAGTTAGCCATTTCTTTATAAAGAGCAAATCTGTTTTATAATTACAGATTTTTTAGACAGATTTCTTGTATCAGAAAGAAATATAAATTTCATCATGTTTCTGTAGCATTTTTTTCCTGAGTTTCAGACTAGGAACAAATTATAAGTGTACTCAATACCTGGAAATGTTTTGCTTCACTCTCATTTTTAATGTCAGCATAGTAAACTGTGTCATTACTGAGGGGGAAGTGGTTGATCAGTAATTCAGTCTCCACTTTATGTATTGTGATGTCTTTATACACGAGGAAAAGATGGCTTGAACCTGTGTATCATATGTGACTTTGAAATGAGCACCTTGAATAGCACTAATTTTTATTTGTAATATTTTTCTACAACAAAACGAGTAGCACTAGGAAAAGAGGTTTTATTCTGTAAACAGTCATCTGTGCCCTGCATTTTAGTAAGCTCACAGCAGATTCTTCCAAGATCATGAATGGGGGGAGGGGGGTGTGCATGTTGAGATTTAAGTTGACATAAAACTTCATACTTTGTCTAGCTCTGATTTCATTTTTTAATAGTGCCAATTTTGTGACTGTAATCATGTGAAAGTCCTGTTGAAATGAAAAATTATGTCTGACCCCCAGATCAAAGAATTTATGTTAAAGTGTGAATAAATCTCATATCAAATGTCAAGCTTTTACATGTGAATGGTTTTCTCCAAGAACATATAAAAATTAATAAAAATCCTCTTAATTTTAACATATTACATGTATGTGATCTTTTTTAATGAACTGATGCTGAGAGTGAGCCCATCACTCTTGAAAGATGGCTTGTCCCAGTTCAGCGAGCATGTGTGAGTCTACAGAATAAAATAAGCTCATCAGCTGGTTCTTATGGCCACATGGTAGGTGTTATGGGGAGTGGGTGTCTATATACCAGCACATAATGGTCTGGTGTTTGGGAGCTGGGGCTGCTGATGGAAGATCAGGCTCTGCTCGTTGATGGGGTCCCTGCCCTCTTTGGTGTTGGGTCCTTAGCCTATAAAATGTGGAGGTTGAATTCAATAGCGTCTAAGGTCCCTTCAGCTCTGAATTTCTGTAACTGGCTCTTCTTGCTGGCACAGGGAACAGTTGAGGAAAGTGGGTGTAGTGAACTCTGCCATGGCAAACCTGCAGTTCAGCAGCAGCTACTCTACTGATTAGATGCTCAGAGTGTGTTTGCAGGTTGTGAATGAAAGAATCATTGATTTAGAAAGTACTTTCTAAACTACTTAATGAAAACTGGTAGAATGACTATTACTAGTAAAGGTAATCTAGCTATTCAGAACTGAAAAAAAAAAAAAAGTTGCTCTGGACAGAGGGAATTTTCACTTACAAAATTATGTGGACTTGTAAATGAAACAAACCCTGTAGAAGTTAAGAATCTCCTGTCATGCACTGTTAGAGTTCTCCAGAGAAACAGAGCCAATAGGCTATCTAGATATAGATGTATTTGGGGGAGAGAAGGATGGGGAGTTTGGAATTAGTAGATGCAAACTATTATGTATAGGATGGACAAATATCAAGGTCTTACTGTATAGCACAGGGAACTATATTCAATGTCCTGTGACAAACCATAATGGAAACGAATATGAAAAAGAATGTGTGTGTGTGTGTGTGTATAACTGAGTCACTTTGCTATACAGCAGAAATTAACATTCTAAATCAACTGTACTTCAATAAAAATTGTTTTGAAAGATGTATTTAAGAGGAGACTTATTATAGGAATTGGCTTGTGCCATTATGGAAATCAAGAAGTTCCATAGTTTGCCGTCTGCCAGCTGGCAAACCAAGAGCCCCAGTGGTAGGATTCTGTCCAAGTCCAAAGGCCTGAGAATCAGGGGGAGCAGATGATGTAAGTCCCAGTCCGAGGTCAAAGGCCCAAGAACCAGAAGCTCTAGTATCAGAGCAGAAGGTGGGAATTCAGCTCACAAAGAGAGTGAATTCGCCCTCCTTTCACCTTTTTGTTCCATTTGGGCCCCCAATGGATGGGGTGATATCCACCCACACTGGGGAGGGCAGTGGGATCTCCTGCTAATCCCTTCCAAGAAANGCTCTTTACAGCATTGGACCTTGCTTCTATCACCAGTCACATCCACAACTGGGTGTTGTTTTTGCTTTGACTCCATCCCTTCTTTCTTTCTGGAGTTATTTCTCCACTGATGTCCAGTAGTATATTGGGCACCTACTGGCCTGTGGAGTTCATCTTTCAGTGTCCTATCTTTTTTCCCTTTGATACTGTTCATGGGGTTCTCAAGGCAAGAATACTGAAGTGGTTTGCCATTCTCTTTTCCAGTGGGCCACATTCTGTCACACCTCTCCACCATGACCTGTTACTTCTCTCTATTTTTTTTCTATATCTTTTTTTCTTCTAAGGATCATGTATTGAAATTAGGTTAAATAATCCTCTATTAAAAGTTGAAATCATTTATTTTTGTGTAATGAGTGGTTTCTTTTGTTAAGGAATCCTTTAAACCTAAAATAAAGTAAAACTTTTAGCAAAACTAAATTGGTGCTGTGAGCCAGATTCATGAAACCAAATGCTACTTTTTTTAAAAATGAAAAAATAAATAAGAGGTTAATACTAATCAAGTTTTTATTCCCAGATGGGATGATTTGCTTACTGCTTAGGACCCTAAATTAAGGCAGGCTGAATCTTTAGAAGTTATTGAATGTTTGCAGATGTGCCAATTGAGAAAGGAAAAAAAAAATGTACCACGCTGTGTTGGAGAGGCTGGATCCTCCTCCCTGCCTACCATGAGGTACATGATTAAAATTGGTTGAAGAAAAATTAAAATTGGAGAGAAAGTAATGTGATTTGCAAGTATGATTGTTTATCTTAGAATNGTTGGAGAGGCTGGATCCTCCTCCCTGCCTACCATGAGGTACATGATTAAAATTGGTTGAAGAAAAATTAAAATTGGAGAGAAAGTAATGTGATTTGCAAGTATGATTGTTTATCTCAGAATGTCAAAATTACATTTTAGCTGACCAAATCTCCACTTTCTAGTGTGTAACTGAAAAAAGCTGGTGTAAAGTTTGCACAAGGTAAGTGTCAAAAGTGGTATGGTAAGGTTAACAAAAGAAAGTTCATTCTTGGAAAATGATGGGAGAAAAAGCAAAGAGACCAAGAGATATTTTAACTCTCAAACAGAAACTATGAAATCTCCATCTGTCTGGATATATGTATATGTCTCAGTATGTATTGTTATCTTTGGAAATATTGCTAAGGGTAATTTGTAAATGAACTCTATTTAATTCCTTAAATAAAAGTAATTGCTTACAAATCAAACAATTATAAATACAAAAGAACTAAGCTAAATGAATTTCAGGTTCACTGGGAAATATTTAGTCTTAAATTAACAGCTGGCATTATGATTGTTCATGTAATTAACATAGACATGATGTGAAGGTGCCGTACTCATTAGGTCATCAAATTTGGAAAACTCAGCAGGGGCCACAGGACTGGAAAAAGTCAGTTTTCATCCCAATCCCAAAGAAAGTCAATGCCAAAGAATGTTCAAACTACCGCACAATTGCACTCATCTCACACACCAGAAAAGTAATGCTCAAAATTCTCTATGCTAGGCTTCAACACTACACGAACTGAGAACTTCCAGATGTTCAAGCTACATTTAGAAAAGGCAAAGGAAGCAGAGATCAAATTGCCAACATCTATTGGCTCATAGAAAAAGCAAGAGAGTTCCAGAAAAACATCTATTTCTGCTTTATTGACTATGCCAAAACCTTTGACTTGTGGATCACAATAAACTGTGGAAAATTCTTCAAGAGATGGGAATACCAGACCACCTTACTTGCCTCCTGAGAAATTTGTATGCAGGTCAAGAAGCAACAATTAGAACCACACATGGAACAATGGACTGGTTCCAAACTGGGAAAGAAGTATGTCAAGGCTTTATATTGTCACTCTGCTTATTTAACTTCTATGCAGAGTACATCATGTGAAATTCCAGGCTGGATGAATCACAAGCTGGAATCAAGATTGCTGGGAGAAAGATCAATAACCTCAGATATGTAGATGACATCCTCCTTATGGAAGAAAGTAAAGAGGAACTAAAGAGTCTCTTGATGAGGTGAAGAGGAGAGTGAAAAAGTTGGCTTAAAACTCAGCATTCAAAAAACTAAGATCATGGCATCTGGTCCCATCACAACATGGCAAATAGATGGAGAAACTATGGAAACAGTGACAGACTTTATTTTCCTGGGCTCCAAAATCACTGTGAATGGTGACAGTAATGTGAAATTAAAAGATGCTTGCTCCTTGGAAGAAAAGCTGTGGCCAACCTAGAGAGAAAATTAAAAAGCAGAGACATTACTTTGCTGACAAAAGTCCATCTAGTCAAAGCTACAGTTTTCCCCGTAGTCATGTATGGATGTGAGAGTGGGACCATAAAGAAAGCTGAGTGCCAAAGAACTGATCCTTTTGAAATGTGGTGTTGAAGAAGACTCTTGAGAATCTTTTGGACAGCAAGGAGATAAAACCAGTCAATCCTAAAGGAAATCAGTTCTGAATATTCATTGGAGGGACTGACGCTGTAGCTGAAGCTCCAACACTTTGGCCACCTGATGCAAAGAACTGACTCATTGGAAAAGACCTTGATGCTGGGAAAGATTGAAAGCAGGAGGAGAAGGGGATGAGAGAGAATGAGATGGTTGGATGGCATCACTGACTCAACCAACACAAATTTGAGCAAGCTCCAGGAGTTGGTGATGGACAGGGAAGCCTAGTATGCTGCAGTCCATGGGGTCGCAAAGAGTCAGACAGGACTGAGCAACTGAACTGAACTGAGACAAGTCTTCGTAGTCACTGATATTAAGTGTAATACTTTCACTGTGCCTATGTTTAATATAATTTAAATAAAATCTTATTATATCTGTTACAAATTTGTCAGAAAGTAACTCAATGTGAAGAAACTTTTAAGGAAAGAAAATGTAAATGAGATAAGAGCTTTTAGGTTAAACTC